ACAACTCTCCCTATTTATCCGGGATCGGGAGCGGCAGAAATCTAGCGAGCTAGTATTCTGGGTGAGATTGTCTGTTATAAAAACTGTGCCCTTAATTTCTCTTTACGCGCCCAGATCACAAATCTCTCTTCACTGGAAAATCTATACTTCTCTAGTGTTCTGACACTTCGTCTTTACTTGGGCGTGGTTGGCGAAACGGAATGAAAACAGATTGCACATGATGAAAGAGTTGAAAAAGAAAATTCTATAAATTTTCATTAGTTCCCAATGATCAAAGTGATACTCCTGTTTCCCTATAAAATATCCAGGACAAATTGATGATGCCCAGTTAAGTACCCTACTACTCAGCATCACACAGTGAATAAGTTATGGTCATTAAATAATTTCCTTCTTTGAATGTGAAGAGTCTCCTTTATTGTTATCTTATTATGTTGCGTATTTCCATATTGTAAATTCCTCGCCAGAAACTAGCTTGCTAGGCTACTAGCTTGCTAGTTTTCTAGTCGATCCCAAGACCGGGTAAAGAGGGAGGGTTGGGACGTGGTAGTAGCAGGTTCACCCCCAAAACAACCAAATGGCTACAGAAACTTCAACGAATAAATATATCAAAAATTCTAAAAACATAAGCAATAGCCTTACTTTTCGCTGGAATCAGGGAAGTGAAATGACGCAGGCTGGTGAAAGCCTTCGGGAAGCCAGTCAGCCGATGTGCCTTCTTTCGATGAAAGCAAAAGTAAGGATGGGTACCTGGAATGTTCGTACAATGTACGAAACTGGAAAGGCTGCCCAGATAGCCGCTGAAATGAGAAGGTACAGAATAGAAGTGTTGGGAATCTGCGAAAGCAGATGGAACGGAACTGGAAGGTGCCAACTACCTACTGGAGAGACAGTAATCTTTTCCGGCCACCCAGAGGACAACCATGAGCACACCGAGGGAGTGGCCATCATGATGTCACCAACAGCAGCCAAAGCTCTCATGCAGTGGGAACCAATCTCCTCCAGGATAATGACAGCCAGGTTCAACTCAAAAGGAAGGAAAGTTACAGTCATTCAATGCTATGCGCCTACAAACGTCTCAGAACAAGAGAAGAAGGAGGCGTTCTACAGACAACTACAAGCAATAATGGACAACGTCCCAAATGGCGATATCAAAATCCTGATGGGCGACATGAATGCGAAGCTGGGAGGAGACAACACAGGAAGAGAACTCACCATGGGTCGTGAGGCCCTCGGCGAAATGAACGACAATGGTGAACTCTTCTCAGACTTCTGCGCCTTCAATGATTTGGTGATTGGTGGCAGTGTGTTCAAACACAAGGATATACACAAGACGACATGGATTTCACCAGATGGAAACACCAAGAACCAAATAGACTTCATCTCAATTTCAAGAAAGTGGAGACGGAGCCTACTGGACACAAGGTCAAGGAGAGGAGCAGATGTGGGTTCAGACCACTATCTAGTAGAAGGGACTTTCAAGGTGAAACTAAAAGCCTCGAGGATAGCTGGGGATAGGCCACAATGCAAGTTCAACACTCAAACTGAAGGACACAACCACAAAAGACACTTTCACTGCAACTGTCAGAGCAAAGCAGGAAACACTACGCGACATCACTGAAGAATCATGCGTGGAAGAACATTGGAAGTCTCTGAAGGCGATTCTCAACGAAACGTGTTCAACGGTTCTAGGAAGAAAGAAGAGACAAGACAAGGAATGGCTCTCAACGGACACTTGGAAATTAATAGAAGAGAGGAGAATGGTGAAAGAGAAAATGATTCAATGCAAGGACGGACAAGAGAAATAGACGCTCAACTTACACAGCACTGGACAAAGAAGTGAAGAAGAGTGCTAGGAAGGACAAAAGACGATTCTACGACAATCTGCCACTGAAGCTGAGAAGGCAGCAGGCAAAAGGGACCTGAGGACACTATATCAGATAACCAAATCTCTATCCGGGAAGAGACCAACACAAGCGAAACCTATAAAAGACAGCCAAGGGAACCCAATTACCAAGGAAGAAAAACAGATTAAACAATGGGCGGATCACTTCAAAGGACTCTTGAACCGACCATCACCTGCAACCCGTCCAGAAATACCAACAACAGCGCGCACACAACTGCAAGTTGACACCAATCCTCCAACGAGAGCTGAAGTCTTGAATGCAATCAAGCTTCTGAAAGCTGGAAAAGCAGCCGGACCAGATGGAATACCCCCTGAAGCACTGAAAGCGACCCAGAGACTACAGCAGACATGCTGACTCCATTATTGCAAAAGGTCTGGAAGGAGGGAAAGGTGCCTACTGACTGGAGGAAAGGTTACCTCGTGAAACTACCAAAGAAGGGCGACTTAGGCCTCACTCTGCAAGAACTGGCGAGGAATCATGCTCCTATCGACGCCAAGTAAAATCCTGAGTCGCATCATCCTGGAGAGATTAAAGGACGCACTGGAGACAGAACTCCGACCAGAACAAGCTGGATTCAGGAAAGGCAAATCATGTACTGACCAAATTGCAACTCTACACATCATCATTGAACAAAGCATGGAATGGCGATCAAACCTCTACCTCAACTTTATAGACTTTGAGAAGGCCTTCGACAGCGTTGATCGTGAAGTAATTTGGAAATTACTCGAGTACTATGGCGTACCCCAAATATTCATCAACCTTATTCAACAGCTGTACGACAACGGCACATGCAAGTGATCCACAACGGAAAACTCAGCAAGGCGTTTGGAGTAAACACAGGAGTCAGACAAGGGTGCTTACTATCACCAATGATATTCCTAATTGTGGTGGACTGGATTATGCGTCAGACAGTGGGAAACGAGAAGACAGGAATATCCTGGACCGACGTGAAGAACCTAGAAGACCTGGATTTGCGCGTGGATGATTTATGTTTGATGTCACACACAATCGAAGACTTACAAGCGAAAACCGACAAACTGGTCGAAGAAGCAGCCGGTGAAGACAGGACTCCAGGTAAACATAGACAAGACGGAGGTTATGAAAATAACCAACCAACAACAGCAACAACATCCAACGTCAATCACCATCAACGGGAGGGATTTGAAAGAGGTTACTTCATTCACTTATCTAGGGAGCATTGTCTCAACTACAGCAGCAGTACGGACGAGGATGTCAAATCGAGCGAGAATCGGGAAGGCGAGAAACACATTCATCAATCTGAAATCAATCTGGAAATCCTCGTCACTCAGGATCAACAACAATAAAATTCGGATCTTCAATACAAACGTCAAGTCCGTTCTTCTATACGGATCAGAAACTTGGCGGGTCACAAAGAATATTTCCAACAGGTTGCAGACCTCTATCAGCAACTGTCTTTGCTCTACACTGATGACGAGATGGCCAGAAAGAATCACCAACACGAAACTATGAGAACAAACAAAACAAGAACCAATCGTCCAACAAATATGCAGGAGTAAGTGGATTGGATGGATTGGACATTCGCTGTGGAGGCCGCTGGGTGACATCGCGCAACAGGACATTGCTCGAGTGGGGCCCGAAAGGAAAGCGGCGTGTGGGACGTCAGTGCAAGTGTGACATGGAGGAAATCATGTGAAGAGGAGTTGAAAGAATATGGACTAACATGGATGCAGGTGAAAAGTACAGCAGAAAACAGAAGCAAGTTGATACGTGCAGTTGAATCCCCATGTTCCACTAGGAACCCAAGGGATCAATAATAAATTCTCCTCTTACTTTGAATTGATTTGGCTGACCTCAACGGCATTGCATTTCTGACTCAGTCATAGAGCGCTTTTTCCTTTAAAAAAAACAATGACTTAAAAATATTAGGAACTCTAAGGAGGAGTGAAACACTCTCAGTTCGAAAATTGATAAAATCGTGGAAGACATTAATTTATTAATTGCTTTATTTATTTATCAGTTTATCCTCAAAATTGGGCAGGTGAATTGTCCTTACCCACACACTGGAATCTAAATGTCTGTAAAATACTTGGTCAACAGTGCAAATTGCATGATAAGCTTTGAAAGAGCCATTTGATATCAAAGTCGTTTCAGGGAGCTAACGAAAAGCAGAGCCAGCTGAAACAAACAAATAAATAAATATGACAAAATGAATGTACAGATTTTACGTTATATTGCTGAATGGATAACTATTCACAGTTTACATCTCTGATTCATTTAATTCAAGAATTGTTATAGTTTCAACCATGATTTGAAGCTTTATCAAATTTAAATTTGCTTCTTTCTCATATTCCTTTTGCTCTGTGAGAAACAAGGGTCAGCAGTCAGACACTAATGCGTACTCAGAATATCATAAATATTTAAATCAGAGGTTTGGACTTACAATAACAACAGCAGTGTTCCAAAAAACACCGGCTAATGCACAAAATTGGTCCTGGAACATGACAAGGTAAATAAAATTCAGAATGTTGATCATGAGCTGTAGCAGATTAAATAAATTATACTTCAAATTGTGGTAAGTAGGTGATGCAACTTATTCACGTCTGATGAGACAAAACCGCTAATGGTGTGCTTATGAGTAAGACGTTTCCGTACTATTTCAACAGAGTCATACAGAAATGCTTCTTTTAATTATTACTTCAGCTTTACATTCCTTTGACTTTGTAAAGACAATTTCCCACTATTGTTGATTAACATATCAAATAAGTGTGATGCTGACTGTCACACAGGTTGCTGTGGTTCGATTCATGAAGTGATTGGCAAGTACTGAAATATTCGATTTATGCTTCCTTGTCAATGTAGACATGTTCGCTCTTAGAAATACAAGGATATGTGAGTGACTGAAATACATTATGAGTAGTAGTCATGCTGAATACTTAATTCTGGTAATAACGGAAAATAATGTTTTAATACAAAAGACTACTTAAAATTTCACTTGACTTACACTTCCCCGGTGCCAAAACAACAACGTCACTCCAGTTATTAGAAAAGCCATCGATAAGAAAAACAGGACTGTGAACACTGCTAGTTTAAATCTTCTGATAAAGATGCACAAGATCATTGTGAATACGTCCTCCAGAATGATGAATCCAAGAAAAATACTACATGAAATTGAATTTGCAGTTTCCAACACATAAGAAAGAGATTCGCAGACGATAGTACAATCTGTTGGCAAAGGAAAGTGGACAATTTCAATATGTGAGCATGAAATTTTAAGTTTTCAGACTGATGGTGCTACGAATCGCCTAGAATAATGTGAGCGCCTAGTCAGATTGAATCATTCTAAATTATTTAAAATAATCCAAGCATGTTACAGGAAGATTCAAAACAAGATTTTATTGAATGGTTCACTGTGTAAGTCAAAGCTGCTTCAGCAGAATTATTCAGATTTGATCAACTATCAAAAATAACATAATTTGTGGTCAGTTCATAAGATGGCCACTTATTTTTATACCAAAAGGAACAGGTAAACAGACGTCACATGTTTGCACTGACCAATGTCATATTGTCATATGTTCTTATTTGTCTGCATTGGTGTGTTGTACTTTATGTGCAAACAAATATCAGAACATGATGATATTTCATATAGGTCATAATATAGGATTGAACTTGTTTCCTCTTCATCTGTCTTGTTTCCTTAGAGTCTGCCATGTCCGTAATAAGTCTATCCCTTCAATCCAGTTTAATGCATTCGATATGGTCAACCTTCCTTTATGTGAATGAGGGTCCCTTATTAGAATTTTGACATTGTAGAAATGGATATTATGTCCTCTGTCCTCTACAGTATGAATTGCTATGGGTAATCTTTTAAATAGACTTTTTAATCCTACTTCGTCATTTCTAGGTGGACGTTTCGTGAATAGCCTGTATTCACTCACTTTGACTTTCGCCTGTCTACTGCTGTCCACTATATAGCAAGCTTCATATTCTGAACACTTTATCCTGTAGACACAATCACATTGTGTCATTTTGGAAAGCATATCCTTAACATTTACTAAAGCCTTCTCCAGAGAACTGTAATGCACGAAATAGACTTTAATATTATATGATGCTTAATGTGTCGTCTACATATTGTACCACATTCTAGGATGACACATAAAATTTGTCGGTGCTTTTCTTTCTAAAGCTTTCATATAGAGATTTGCTACAATTGTAGATGCTGGTGACCCCATTGCAACCGACAGTATTGTTTGTCCTTGAAGGTGAAATATGCACATTCTGAACTAAGTTTTAGGCAATTGCTAACGTTTTCTTTTGACAACGAAGATTTAGCTAATATTTCCTGATCGTTTATGAGTTCATATTTCATAATATTAAGTGAATCACATAAGAAATACTAGCAAATAGAGAAAGCACGTCAAGACGTGTCACATTTTTTTCTTTTCCAACGATTATCTCCATCACTCTTCTTTTAAACTACTCAATATTTTTTATTATTTGAAGGAATATTGTACTGAAGTGGTTTCAATATTCGTGATACATGTTTTGCTAAATGTATGTAACTGAATTCGTGAAATCAATTATTTGTTTTAATAAGACGTCTATTTTTGTATTTTTGACCTTCCATAAAATCTCACGGCCGTGTGTGTTTTCGGAGCTGTTGAAAACCAATTTTCAGTTCCCTAAGTAGATTGCATACTTGTGCTTTTACTTTGTTCATGGTACTCGACGTTTTCTTTATTGGTTTTTATGTGTATGGCTTTTTTTGATACGTTCAAGAATTTTTTTATAATCGTCGTTTTGAAAATCACAGTGGCTTACACAGTGAAACGTTTAGAAAAGATATTATTTTGACATTTCCTTAAACACACTGGGATAATTTGCATAATTTATGTGTAAATATAAATGTTTAGTATCTCAGTAAATTAAGAATCCCCACAGTGTATTGAGAACGAGGTGATTGTAGGCGGACAATTTTTTTAGTCAAATTCATCCGCATGCTCTGCTGTCCTAAATCCTTGAGTATTATACTGAATACAGCTTTCAAAGGCATGTGAAAATAACATCGGGAATTTTATTGGGGTACACCTTCAGTTTTGGATTGATGGTTCGTCATTTTCTGTTGTTAAGTGAACGCATATAAATAGCGTGCAGTTATTTTATTTTCTTATCAGTCTTTCATCCCTTAATGTATTATGGTTGATAAATGTAGGTATAAAGTATATTCTTGTATGTAATGTAATCGACCAAACCATTACACTGTAATTTCGTGCATCCATTTAACCCTGCTTATTTAACTTGTGTTACTTGTTTTGGTCTAACTATTGTTCGAGAAGATGGCACAGCAAACACGAAATGACCATGAGGAAATAAAGTTGACTCATAAAATTGATACTGGGAAAAACTTACTGTTATTCCTACCAGGAGCAATACAATTTTAAGATTACTTCTGAACATGAAGAATAGTAATATACAGAGGAACACAATCACTACTCTAAAATATATATAGAAAAATGGGTCTTATAAATTAATAAAGCTGGAATGGGGTTCCGTTGTAAAATATATTTACTTCTATGTAGCCTTGTGATTTTATATCGCATTCGTTATCATATGAAGAAAGAAAATTGGTAACTGGATGTGCTGCTGTAGTGCTACATCCATCATCTGTCAATGGTTTTATTGTTTACTCAACAGAATAATTTACTGTTAGGGGAAGCACAAGTTTAGACGCAATGGAAGTGATTAAGGCAATATTCTCTGTTTATATCCAGACATAAGATTTCATAAGTAATGTTCTGGTTATGAGATTATTGATCCAACATGTAGTCTAAAATGAATCGGTTTCAAATAATGGATACTGTGAGAATATTCAATATCTTTTTCACAAAAATTTCTTATTTGTTCCATTTTAGTAATTATCTGTGAGTCGGTTGTCCTATGAGTCATTTCAATGCAACGTGTTTACTTTGTGTCACCTAATATGGGGTTCAAAAACAGGCCAGATTGTCTTCTTTCAGTGAGGTAGGTTTACGATTTGTTTTCAAAATATCTGTTCATGTTCTAGATAGCAACATTAGTGACAGGGCGTTTTGTGTCCCTAGAAGATCGTTCCTCGAAAAAGTCTGCACTCAACAAATACAACGATGCAGATAAATTGACTAAGGCACAAGCCACACAGTGCTTAGCACAAACACCATATCAGCGAACTGATGAATATTATTACAAGTTTGTGAAAGGTTATGAACGTTTTTGAAATAGACAGTCACTAAGAGGATAATCGAAAGCAACATATATCATTTATGCAGCAATGAAAACCTCTTTTTCATACTTGAGTCGAGATTGTTGATGGTGCTGAGAATGACGCTGCAAATACCTGGCGTGAAGATGAAAGCTCCATTATTTTATTCAATCTACCAGTCGGTAAAATAGATGGTTATCACTGCTTATCAGCATTGACAACACTACATATTCTGCTTCAGTAACCAGTATGTTAACAGGAAACTGTCTGAAAATCAGTCGTTCATTTAGTCCAGTACTTTACTAGAGTCCACGGCTTTAAATTCCACGAGTGAGTGATTTGGTTCTAGAGGTTATAATCACCAGCTGACATAAACGTATTCACAACAATATACCACCAGTGGTGTTTTTCTCAAAGATTAAAAAAATGCACACTTACAAGGAAGCGACTTGCGCATAATTCATCCATTCTTCAGGAATCTGAACCACCTGGAAGATAAAGTATTCACCAAAGAGAATTCATCATTTTGATTACATTAACAGATGATCAATAATGGCGAAACTGAGTAGACTGTCATGACGTGGTGTTCGCAATGGTTTCGAACCTGCAAAATGCTGAGTTTTCAACAAAAGCGTTTCATCTTAATGTCTTACATTGCAACATGAATATTCGACACGTTACGTTTGCTCACAGATGCAAGAGATGTGGTGTGATGCTCATTTTCGAATTTCCCATTCAATGAAACTCACACAGTACAATCCATATTAAAAAACAAATGGTATGCAAATCGTATACAAAATTCAGGAGACTCAGTCCTATATGATTATCGATTTCGGTATGAAGGCATAACGATTCTGAATGTGTGAGTTTACCAGGTTAATTCAATCTGAAGAAGCTCTCAGTGAGCATCACTCACGTGAGATACAGTTGAAAAGGCATATATAGCAACATAAATATATGTATATATATATATATATACTGCCAAGTGCACAAGTTGTGTTAAAGAGTGAAACTTGTTACGATTTCGATTGAATTTTCGTACATCCCGTAAATAGAATGACAATAAAATGCAAAGAGAAAATTAGAAAAAACGTGAAGAAACATATGCTCATTAGGAGTAGGATTTCTCAGATATGAAAGTCACTGCTGTAGGATCATGTCAAGTAAGAAACCCGATAAACCATGAAACTATCATATTCTAATGCACAAAAATTCCAGAGAAATAATGAAAAGTAAATTTCTTACCTGCATGAAAATAGCCATCTCAAGCTAAACCTTATAGGATTGATCTGAAGAAATGTTCAATTAATGTATCAATATATATTCATCTAACTTTTGAAACTTTGGTTTGTATTGTTTTACATTTATGATGGCATGTTTTCTAATTGATAACAAAGTCCTCAATCAACATCGAAGTTTTCTTATTTTTGAGAATAATAAAGTCCTCAAAAGAATATTAAGTGAACATTTTAAATCATCACTAAAATTTTCTTACTTTGAACGACGTGCTGTTACTTGATAAAAACTGGTTGATTTATGGAGCACTTGATTGTGGAAAAATTAAAAACTACTGATGATACTTTAAATGTGTAGGATGGTTATTTGCGTACTCGTCAGCGCATTTGATATCTTCTAGATTTAAATGAAATAATATGAAGGACAGTTTGATCTCCACTCTTTCAGCATCTAGTGACATAGTAAAGTGGTTAATTTTAAAAGATATTTTAAATTGACTGTCTGAAGTCTGAATTGCAATGCGTCATCAGAATAAAACGTAATGATATGAATGAAACTGGATCAGTACCACATTAGATAGAAATCACTATTTGTAATTTGTTTATACCTTCTATGTTACCCAGATCTTTTCCACTTGAACGTTGAGGTTATGTGCTGTAGAATGTTCTTTAAAATCGCAGGTGATATATCTTAGGCGGATAACTTATGCGTCCTATAAAATGGCTGAATAAATAGCCGTATTTTCTAGTCATTTCTCCTTTTTCTTGGACCCATAAATCTTTCTCGTGTCTACTGTCCAACGTTTGCGAGTAATTTGCCAACCATCAGTCATACACTGTCACACTGTTGAGGTAATATCAGACCAAACTCACATATCAATATCCTTACAACAAGCCAGTTCAGAAATAATATATTGGATCAAATCAGTCACTGATGTTTCTCACAAAGCACCTATACGAATGCTGGTTATGAAGATTTTATTACAAAATATCGTAGAATTTTAAATTGTGACGAATTCGACAACGTTTCAACGATATTTGTGTAAGTAAAATCACACAGAAGTGTTCCGTGTGATATATATGTGTATATATATATAACAAAATAAGTGAGCAAAGAATATCTTTTTCGATATTTCCTCTTCTGACTCTACAATCGTAAAGGTATGCAGAATATTCTTGAATAGTAGCGCATAACGATATTCTATGTAATATTAACATATATATATATATATATATTTATATTTATGTAATTGCAGAAAGAGAAGAGGAAAACATCTTTAAGGATATTTTTTTCTCAATTATTTTTTTATCGATGTCTGAATGAATATTTTTGCTGTATTTTTATTTGCTTATTTATTTAAATGACTGGAACGTGGAAGTTGAATATTTGAACACTAATGACATTTATCAATACCTCCACTTGGAACCCTTCCATTCAGTGAATCCTATCAGTATATAAGAAACAAAAGAGGGTTCTACACAAAGATATAAATGAGAAGAATATAGAATATTGTGTTCATGCAAAGTGAGACATGCATAAACAATCTGACTAGAACTCCTTCATCAATCAACAATGAACGGGACGTAGGATGCTGGGATGATTAACTAAAGAATTAGCTAGCGAAAAATGAATCACAAGAAAAATGATGTTAATGACAAATGAAAGAAGAAAATTGAACTTCTTACTTTTAGAACAGGGTGCAGTTAGTCAGCAGTATTAGTTAAAGGAGTCACGAATGACGACCCCAGGAGTATTTTATTACTAACTCTGTATACTTAAATTTGTCATTTGCTTTCCATTCATTTTGAAGGCTTTTTATTAGTCCCGAGTACTAAAGGTTTTAAGTATAATATGATTATAAGCAATAGTTTGCAGTCGAAGCGTCATCACTTAGTATTTCTGTATAACACTGTGTGATTTGTCAAAATAAAATCTTATCTATAATGTAGCTATACTCTACCACAGTGCTCAGGCTTACACTTATTTCTCAGTATCCTATCAAACGTATTCTAATAGTGTTGCTAATCAATTATTTATTTTAAGCAAATAACGAAGTTTGTGGAAGCAAACTGTGAACACATAAATCCATGAATATTTGTGAAAAAACAGAAGATAAAATTGATAAACACCTATCAATATGTCTTGTGTTGAATTATTATAATATCGTTATGATGGAAGTTGTCTGTTCTCAGTATTTTAAAAAGATGTTCATTTACTCACACGGCATTCTAAGACTATTATCTGACGGAAATACGATATACCGATTAATTTTGCATGTGATATCAGCTTGATGAAGTAGTATTCACTCGGTGAATCCATGTTAAAGAAAAACCCCGAGAAATTCGAACTCAGTGTATCATATTTCATTTAACTGAAAAGCTATGGAATATTGATTGTTAAGATGTCACTTTAGAAAAGTTTGTGGAACGTCTCACGTTACAACACTTTTTCCGACATTCTCATAATGAGATTGAAATATTTTTACAAATTCCAAGGAAACCAAACTCTTTTGACTAAAGTCTGCAATTTGTTTAGCATGTCAGACGGGTTGGTACTTGTTGTACAGATAGAAAAATCCTGGATTGTCACAGATTCGAAAAATATTGCTATATAGCTTGCGCATGGAAATTTGTCACGTGATTACAGATTTTTAAATCGTATAGACTTCGCAGCGTTAATAATAATAGTAACAGCTTTATTCCAAACGGTATTTGTGGTACAGGTATGGAATTTTCAGCGTCCATTACATTATATTGCAACTAAATACCTCAGAGATTATATAAGATTTTTAAAATCACAAGATAAATAAATAAAAATAAATAATAAATAAATAAAATAAAAAAAATAAAAATAAAAAAAAAAGAAAACAGCGTAGAGTATTTCATTTCAAACAGTGCACCGCAGGATATGAAATATAAAGTTGTTGTGTGATAGAAGATGAGAACAACAGTGTAATAGTAACGAAGAAATGAAAACAAATCTGATGGGACTATTTGTTAGAGTGCCGCAGTAAGTTTATCGTGTCATACCTAACGGATTCCTCATCACATAACAGCTGTGCCAGATATGGTATTGTGGAGTTTTTGTATTTGGTGGTCCTAGCATGTAGCCGTCTATACCTGCTTCTTGTTCTACCAGATGAAATGCAAGGAGACAGCTGGTTATAGAGAGGATGATTGGGGTCTGACAATATTGTATTCGCTAGTTTCTTACATGACATAATATGTCTATCCACAATAGTGTTAACCAGTTGGTTTAACAATATCCCACTTGCCCTACTAACGGCTTTTAGTGCCCTTCTCAGCAAAGCAAAGTCTTTCTTAAGTAGTCCAGGAAAGATTCATGGGGAGCAGTAAAGGGGGATGGGTAGAATTTTCTCTTCATTTCGAAGTCATCGCACAGCTTTTCCCTATGAGTCACTTGACATGTGCCGATTTCCTACAGCTGTTGTATGAGTTTATTAAAGGTTATGAGAAGTCATTGAAATCGTTTCGTGGTCAACGCTATCGACTGACTTTTCAAAGCCAATGAAATCGAGGCACAGATGTGGCTTCCATCTAATTCTCTGCTCGATGACGCAAAGGAATCTAAAGCGATTTCATCTCCTAAAAATTAGCTTGTTTGAGGAAGTGTTTTTAATCAGCAGCATCGTTGAGTCTCTCCGCGATGGCATAAATTATTACCTGATTTCGATAGAGAAAGAAAGATCAGATTTGCAGTATAAAATGATATCATTCTATTTCACAGGTTCTCATCATCTGCAAACTACCTGAAATTACAATGGTTATAAATAATAACATTTCATACTTCATTGTTTGAAAAGTAATAGAGAAAACATTGTGAGGTGAACGCATCATTATTTTCTATACTGTCAAACTATGAAAAACTATGACAGGGCAAGGAAGTTATTTTCACCTAACAAGGTAGAAGAAGAATTAAGGTTTGTTGTAAAATGCCTTAAGGAAAACGGGTGTCTAAAGGGATATTTCCTAAAGTACAGCAAAGAAAGAGATGAGAAAGAGAAGCATCCAACAGTTGAAAAGAAGAAGGTGTTCATTTACCTCCCATACAAAGGAGTAACCGTATAGCAAAAGATTGAAAAGAAGATGAAGGGAGCAATAAAGAGATGCTTCCCTGCAGGCAATTTGATGACACTATACAGTACCACATGCTCTATCAGGCAATCGAAACTGGATAAGTATCCTGCTGATGTTACCTCCAACAACATTTATAAGTTTACTTGTACCTGCGGCAGCAAGTACATTGGAAGGGCAGAAAGAAGGCAGGACTTCTATCGGGTTTCCAGAGCATATTCCAAGAAACGTCACAGACCAAACTTATGCATACAGAAAGAGAGTGTGGTTAATCTCTCACTCCTTGGTAACCATATCACTTATATTACACTAATTAGCTATACACACTAGTGAGCTGAACTCACTAAGCAAGTTTTCAAATTGATGAACTTTGACCTTCTTGAGTTGCCATGTTGACACTGTTTATTAGATATTTCTGTTTTTCTGTCTTCTCCCAAACCCCTTTTTTTTCTTTTTTCATAGTTTGACAGTATAAAAATTGATAATGCGTTCACCTTACAATGTCTTCTCTATTACCTTTCAAACAATGAAGTATGAAATGTTATTATTTATAACCATTGTATTTTCAGGTAGTTTGCAGTTGATGAGAACCTGTGACATAGAATGATATCATTTCATACTGCAAATCTGGTCTTTCTTTCTCTATCGAATTTTATCAAGGGAACCAAATGTATGAAATATTACCTGATTCTTTCTCTTTTATTCCAGTGAAGGATGAGTTTACTTTTATAGTTGTGGTGTACTTTGAAGTACTTACAGGAATGAGTTCGATTATATGAGGTAAAGAGAATGGGGTGATAATGTATTTTAAAATTTATGTATTCTCATTAAATCTATAAACGAATCATATTTATTTTTCACGAATTACGCAACTGTCATCAGTCTTCGATGAGATTTTTACTTACATTGACCGAAGCGGAT